AAAATCGGATCCCGAGGCAAATGGAATGCACGATTACACCACTACAGCCACAAGCGCGGACTCGAGCGGAGTTATTTTCGTTACGTGCAAAATGCATTTTTAGCTAAAAGGAAAACTACTCCGTAAGATAACGAATTATTATGAAAGCAATGCAATTTCAAATTCAAGCAGGTTCAAGCACATTGTCCAAAATCCAAGCACTTTTCTAACCTTGAAAACACTATATTAAAAATCAAGCATTTTCCAGGATTTCCAGCACCCGTACGAACCCTGTATATAAGAAGAAAATGAATCGTATAGTTTCCATAACAAATAACAGTGAATATTCAATCCAGTTAAATATCACCGACAGAATAGTTTATTAATTCAGTGTCAGCGCTGATATTAAACAAACACACATCAATAACTGAAAGAAGTAAGGAAAGGAAGGTCAATAAGTTAAAATTATAACTTATTATATGTCAGACTGAACTGAAAAAAACGAATAACGGCATAGATTGGCCAAATATATGTGTGAGACAACATGGCGGACACCCACTATATTTTTATGTCTCTTAAACTTTAATTAAAAGAGGAGGGGGTGGGACTTTAACTCCCACGCCTGCAGGTGCAAAGTGGCAAATCAAATCATGTCAAATCACTTTATTACGTCACAACACTTTTTAAGTGCAGGTGAATGAGAAACTAGTGCACAAAATCCAACAACAGCAGCGAAGGAGGACCGCAAACAAAACAGTGGTAAATTAAATAATACCGGCAGTGTTATTTTATTTCCTTCCTAAAAATGCTCATTTTACATACAAAAAAAACTTCATGTCAAAGTCTTAACTTGTTGTTCGCCGTAGATTTCTTACATGACGCCTTACACACAAAACTGACCTGACAAAGTCACACTTAAATAGCACATTCTGGAAGAATGCAGGTGCATCTCTGTAACTGTATGATTAAAAGACTGAACAGAGGCATTTCTCTGCTCTGAGAGCGTTATGCTGTGACTCTTACCTCTAGAAGGTACCTCTGCTCCATTGCATCCATGGTCTGCTGCAGAATGTGCATCTTCTCCTCTACCTCCACGAGCCCCCCCTGCAGCGTCGCCAGGTGTCGGCCCAGCTCCCCCAGAATCTCCTCCTGTTCCCTCCTCAGATGCTCCGACGTGGAAGCCTCCTCTTCCTGCAGGAGGCAGTGCAAGGCTTGGAAGTCACTCCGTATCTGTCCCTGGAGCTCCGCACCTGTTCTCTGCGTGGACACAAAACCGCTGTGTCAAGCCGGTGAGGAACAGAGCCCAGTCAGCGTTTCCTCCGCAGGCCTGATCACACGACAACTGCCCAGGGGAATGCAGATTTTTTTCCTGTTTGCGCAACCGGGGAAATTCTCACCAAACGAAAGTGGAGTCTTCGGCATCTGACCAGCAGAACTTACTTTTATTTTGAGTACTTTCTGTTCGTTTTTGTGGATCATGCCCATGTAGCGCTCCTTCGTCAAGCGGTGAGAGGCTAGACAATCTTTCAGCCGTTTCTGGAGAGAAAAGAAAACACTCAATTGTTTGCCTTCTAGGGATCTTGCCAGAGCGTTTTTCCATTTCTTCTTCATTTTGAGGCCAGCTATTCATTCATTCTGCATACAGTCAAACATATCCAAAAGATATTTCTAGCTAAAATATGTATACTATCTAACAGTGTGTATCCCAAAGGAAAATGTCAAAACAAAAGAAAGAAGCAAATATTTTAATCTCAGCAGGGGTGATCACTCACACGTCTTCACTTAAATGAAAATTAGGCAATCCTTCAGAGAACAATGAATTACTTCTGTGGAGAATGCAAATACTTCACGAGCCTAAATTCACGAGACAAATAGTAACACAGTTACTAGGGGTAGCAGATAGCTGAAGATGCTGCAGAAAGGACACATTTCAGCGGAACACAAAGGCCACCAGAAACTAATCAGTCAAAAATAAAAGCTTAGTTGCTTGGCAACCTTCTCTGGAGAAGCTTATCTGCCATGGTCCATCTTCAGACCAAAGGTCATTGTGCTTAAAATTTTTTCACTGATAATATCACTTATTCCTTCTGTCCTCTTCACTGTGTGCAAGTAACCTTCTCAACAAACAGCAGTAAACAGGCAAATATGATACAGCAACATGATGTTTGTCAACAAAAATGACAAACCTTCAGAGGGCAAACACTCATTCTGGCTCTCTGGGCTCAGACAAACAGACGTTTATATTCCTATCCTCGTGGAGACCGTCCATTTATTTCTAAATCCCAACAATGACAACCTTAACCCCTACCCAGCCCTAACCTTAACCATAAGTAACCAAACAAAATATAAGACTTCTGACATTTTTAGGTTTTGATTGTAGTCACTGATCTTTATAAAAATGAGCTTCCCCTTGTGGGGACAAAAAAAAAACTTATTTGGTCCCCACAATGTAGTATATACATGCCCACAGACACACATAAATGGGTGATTTAAAGGTACCAATCGACCTAGTGGTTTTGTACAGCAGAAGCGAGAACTGGAGAACCCAAAGGAAATTTGCATAAACTTCATACACACAGGCAGTGGACCTGAAACACTATCCCAGGAGTCATGAGGTTGCACTGCTAACCACTGTGCCACTATCCACTGTGCCAGCCACTGTGCCACCAGCCACTGTGCCACCATCCACTGTGCCAGCCACTGTGCCACCATCCACTGTGCCACCATCCACTGAAACAATCCCATCAGCTCTCTGGTTCCTCCTTACATAGAATCTGTCCAAAGTAACAATGAATGAAGCTACAATGTAGACATGAATGTAGTAACAATGAAGAGAATTCAAATTCATAAAAATAGAGAGACTGATTATTAAGATGCATCTGAAGGCTTTTTTCCAATTTATTTAAATATATAATTATTTTAACATGAAATTGCATTAATAAAAAAAATAGGATAGTATCTTTCGATTTCCCTTCTTTTTTCTTGAATGTTGCCCATAAAGAAAAAGCAAACCAGTGTTTGTCTCAAAGCAGTCAATGATTATCTAACAAAAACAGATCAGTGCTAAAAGTGTATGCTGTGGTTAAGGACTTTGAGCTGAAACCCAGAGGGGGGGGGGGGGGGAAGAAATTTAACACGACTGAAAAAAATGCTGAAAATGTTGCACCATGACTTTCATTTGGGTGTCAACTGGCTTATTTTATGCATTAAACCATCTCAGCTGGGATAAGGCAAAAAAATAGAATAATCAGCAAGTTGCATGAGGCAGGACTGAGAGATAGATTTGTGATACTTTATTAATCCCCATGGGAATTACCTGCAGGTGAGAGCAGGTGCAAGCCTGGAGTCCACAGTCGCCCACAGGGCACACGTACCTTCACACGCACACGGTACCGTTATGCAATACATACGTAACCCACCTGCAGGTGCTGGTGGTCTGCTGATCTCGCCCGCACCTTCTCCACCATGGCCGCCACCAAGTAATTGGTCTGGAACTGCTTTGTGGGGAACTCCTGCCGGCACTGGGGACAGGTTACAGGATCCCTGAGGCTCCTCCAGTAAGTGGAGATGCAAGCCTTGCAGAAGTGGTGCATGCAGGCCAACATGACAGGATCGACGAAGAGGTCACAGCAGATGGCACATGTGAGATCCTCCTTCAGGCTGAGCCGCTCCTGGGACGCGTTTGTGGCTCCACAGCTCATTTTACTGTAATTCTTCTTTAATAAATTTCAATACGGTCAGTGCTGGGCCATTAAAAATGAAAGAAAAAAAAACACGCACGCACCTGGAAAACGAAACAATAATGGCGATCGTTTAGCAAGCCCGTATAACCAGAGGAGCCGTTTCGGCGAAAGCCAGTCGTTAACAAAACAAAACAAAACAAAACAAAACACGGCATTTCCATCACTCTACAATATCAGTTAACTTTAGATTTCACTTTTGCTTTACAGGCACAAATACCAATTTAAAGATCACAGAAGTCCATGGTTTAGATAATGTATCAAAATAAAACAGTGTTAAATCACGTATTATGAAGTAAGAAAAGCAAAACAAATACGGCGTACGTCGACGTTTAACAGGACATTAATTAACATACCTTATTAAAATGCTGTCTGCCAACTGACTGCGCGTTTTCTTACTTTCGCTTGCTGCTTAAGTTAACTTCACTTGCAGGGACGGCATTAAAAGTCATATGTGAGTGCAGAAGCCCCCGACCGCCTCCCTTTCCCCCCCCCAGCGTTTTCGGACCTTCCGCGGCGTTTATCAGCCGCACTTCCGCACTGTGACGAGTCACGCGCCGCGGTGACGTAGCGCTCAGCCTGGGCTCCCACAGCTGCACGTACAGAACCATTAAAAAATACAGCTCTGGAGAAACTTGAGACCGCTCCATATGTTTTATCTGCATTCCTAAATCCTGGCTTGATCCTGGTTCTGCTGGCAGGAGGCTACACTGAGCAGCAGGCTGCTTCCAGGCAAAGTTTCTATGACAGCAGTACACAAGAACAAGATGAAACAGGTGACACTGGCAATAACTAAAAACCAGCTAGGTAGAGGGCAGAAGCAACTTTGTAATGCCAGAAATCACCATCAACTTATCCAACAGTGCCTCATTAATCGGAGGATGACATCAAGTGACCTTCAAAAGGAATGGGAAACATTAAGTGCAGATGTGAGGTGCACTACTAGGACAGTTCGTATCAGGTTCCTAGAAGCAGGACTGAAGTCCCATAAAGCAAGGAAGAAGCCCTTCATTAATGAGAAACAGGGAAGAACCAGGCTGCAGTTATTACGCCGCCATATACGACACGTAACAACAACACCAGGTCCCTAAAAGAAAATCAACACACTACTGTCCATTTACCAAAAAAAAAAAAAAATGTTAATCACAGATGTACACCCATAAACTGAGAAATGAGTGAAACTGAAAATTATGCTGTGGTCTTTTTTTCCAGAGGTATATACTGTGATATATTAAAGTTTCACAGACAGCATTAAATTATTAAGATATTAGGCATTAAGAAGTGGTAGGTAGATGAAATCACTACAATGTTTTTGATATTTCAAAACCATATGGATCGCTGTCATAGAATATGACGACATGGGAATCTTTTTGTCATTATCTTTAAATCACTAAGACAGATCTCGTTGTAACCGCCCCCACTAACCCCCCCATAAAAATAAAAGCAAACTATTTTTATTTTGCTTAGAAGCTACTTCAAGATTGCAAGTGTCTGCCAGTTTTTAAACTGTAATTACAGTACAGAAAGGTAGCCCACAGAATTTGCCAAATTGCATTACAGTTTGTTTACAACAGATGCAGTCTGTTGTTGAATATAATTTGTTCCTCTATTGACTTTTGCATTCATTTAAAGACAGACTGTACTCAAACAAAATGCCACAGAAAATTATAGGACACCATGGAGTGAGTGTTATGAAAGAGGCAGGAAATATTACAGAAATATCTGCTAGTATAGTTATCCACAAAGATTTTCTCCCCTTCCGTCGCAGTGCACTGCTCTCCGGTCTTAAAAATGCTAAGATCATTCCAAGGAGTTCAAGATTATTGCTAGAAGGGAGTTTAACTTTGACATTGTGTTTTTCTCTCTGCATTCATTTTAATGTTTTTATGTAGCATATGAATAGATTTGTCACTTTATAGTGGTGGTTTTCAAGAGGAAATCAAAACACTCATTTGCAAATATAGGTTAAACAAAAGCAGTTCCAGTTCTTTAAGAAAGGCACTGGTCATATTATTATATATTTTAAACCCACGTACATATTGTCCAGTTCGCCTAAAATCATGGCTTTGGGCCACAGGACAAAACCCAACCTGCAAAGGGAGGACAAGCAAACTGTGGTCAAGGAGCTTTTGTTTCCAATGAGCATCATACATCATTTTTAGATATTTAGATTATATGATAATGGATTTAACTGGCTGGTTTGGAAATTCACTGAATATGATTATGGAATGTGGTGGAGGTACTTGTGGATTCAAGAATCTCTGGGATATTATTTAATTTGTGTGACTGATTCCACCTCATGCCCTCAATAACATGCTGGCAACGATATATTAAGTTGGCAAAAGATATCAAGGATCCAAATTCTTAACTTGTGATTGAACTGGACTCATGTTGACTCGTTGTGCCTCACATCTGAGTTAAGGGTTTTGACCCCTCTCTGTATGTCTGCGAAGCATTTTCGTATTTTCCTTGCCTAATATTGGTTTCCTCCTGAAATTCCAAAGGCATGCAGTTAGGCAATCTGTGAATTGCCCATCGTGTCCGTGCCCTGTGATGTACTTTCTAAGCTTCACCCTGCCCTGTGCCCTTTCCTGCATCCATTATTGACAGTTTCGTTTCTGTCGATATTGCCCACAGTTTTTTGATTAGCCGCGCCTGAAATGTACGTGATCAGGAGGCAGTAAACATGGTCCTCGGAGTTAAACTGCATACAGGCCCCTGAGAAATGAAATAAAGGAAGGAACAGATCGAGATAAATCAAGCTCTTTCACGGAGAATCCTTTTAAAACGCATCTCAGGTTTTCACTTCTGCTGTGAATTCTGGCAGCTTCCGTGGACGTCGGACAGTTCCCAGGTCCCTGCAAACGCTCACTTCTGACTTCCACCTCCTCCTGGGAGAAGTGACGGGATCTCTGGCCAAAAGCCCAACTAACTCCGGAGCTTTTCCCCAAGCGGGGCCCAGCGGCGTCTGCAGCAGCTGGTGGGCGGGGATACTTCTGGCCCCGCCTCTCAGTGGACAAAGATGCATGCATTTATTAACATCAACACGTCTAAGATCCCATGGAGAAGATGAATGTATGAATTTATACTTCATTTTGTATGTATTTGTAGTTTTGATGTTTCTGCTCCATGATCACATACAAACACAAGTCTCATGATTGAAAATAGCAATATTTACATCTTCATTTTCCATTGTAAGTATAATAGAATTGGAAAGCTGAAACGCTGAGACTAACTCCAACCCAGACCAAACATATAGAGTGTCTTATAGGTTTAATAATCCCATGAGAATGTGCTTTAGCTGATGTGTTATCTGTGGCCATGTTTCTGACCCTGGCTAAAAGAGAAACAGCAATGAGAATAAAATTGAGATGGCGAGTGTTGTGATGCTTTGTTTCCCAATGTGTACAGTACAGTCAGTAAAATAAGATACATGTTTTTTCAGATGTGTAAAAGCAAAGTAACTACTGGAGAAATGTTTAACTAGACATCATGGTTTTCCAGTCACGTATCCAATACACTACATAGTGTGGTTACTGCATGTTTTGCCAACTATGCTACAGTCAAAAGTGAAGTTTAGTTTCCCATGCTGAATATTATGTTAACCATTATAGCCATTTGAGTTATCTGTTTCACACTTCAGTATTCAAGTAATTTCAGCATTCAAGCACTTTCAGCTGGAATCTGTCTTTTTCAGATCCAGATTTGTTTTTTTTTACATTCAATCCAAATCAGATTTATTCTATTATTACTACTTTTTTAGGAAATTGGGAAACAAGAAAAGAAGCAGAATACTCAATAGAGATTTGTGATTTGCATTAATGATTTGAGGATTAAAAAAAACATCCCATAGAACTATTTTCAAAATAAACAGCATCACAAAACAATTTAGATAAGCACTGATAACGTATATTTACACAGCTTGCATTGTAAATGGCTGCCACTCTTGATAAGGAAGGCCATTATTCCAGACTTTGATAACAGAAGAAGATTCAGAATGTGTTCCTTGATCCATACTGGTTCACTTTCGAACCAGTGTGAAGCTGGCAGAAATATAAAATTAAGATACTTAACAGGGATGTTCAGTTTGTTCTCTATTAACTTTCTTTCAAGACGGTCCTCACAGAATCATTAACTTATGTACGGAAGTTGCAAAGAGAACAGAGGGCTTTTTGTGGATTATATTACAGGAGTTTCTGTCCTGAGAGCCTCAGGGAATAATTGAACTTCACAGTAATGAGATTTTATCAGGAGAGGGAGAGGCTGTAATTGCAGCATTTTTGCATTTCTATCTATACTTCTGTTTGTATGGCCATGAGCTGCACAATTATGGCTCCATCTATAATACAGAGCTGCTTTTTGAGCAGCTTTGGGAGATATGGCTAATTAAACTTGATTTTCCAATATTAGTTTTCTGCTCTGCGCTGCACAGCTTGAAATGGTTTCTGGCTTAATTAGAAGGCAAGACTGCTACACATGAAAAAGCAACAAATAAGCCATGGGAGCTGTTTAGTCCAATAAAATAAATCTATAAAATTTAAGGATGAGTACCACAGTCACATCACACCTCTAGGGTTGGGGGTTTAGCTCTGTGTGTGAGGAATTTACATATTTTCCCAGGATGCAATGGGTATCCTCCCACAGTGCACTGCAAGGACATGCAGCTTGGTTAACTGGCATCTGCAGTGTATGATTGTCTGTGACAGTGCGTGGGTGTGTGTGCTTTGTGATGGACGGGCATCCTGTCCAAAGTGTCACCTGCGACACACCCAGGGTAAGCAGCTTTAGGGTGGATGGATTGAATTCCGTCCAGGATGCCACCTGTCCAGTGCCCTACAGAGCCTAGAATTGGCTCCAGGTTCGATTCCCAGCCCTGTGTTGGATAAAAGGTGAAGGGACAGATTGATACCTGCATATAAGATTGAAACTCACTCCATCAATGGTAAAGCCAGGCAAACCGGTAAGTTTACAAATGTTTTAATCCTTTTACGTTTCTGCAAGTCACTTCCCATGAGATTCATTATGCACAGAAATAACCTTCCTGATTCAAGAATCCCAGAAGATTTAGTAAAAAGGTATTTAAAGGACTCTGGTGTTAAATCAGAAGAGAATGTGAGGTCTTACAAGAAAGGTATTGACATATACACAGTCTGCAGAAAATCTGCTCCCATTAGTGACTCCTCATTAATGCCACACAGCTGCACTCACTGATCTGAGCTAAGCTCGGGCCCAAAATGAACTGATGGTGCTTCTCGTAGAGTTCATATCAGCAGTATGGAAAATACATAGCGTTCAATCAAGACCTTGCTCGTGTTATTTATTTACTCTCTGGGGAACTTTAAAATCACCACAGACAAAAAAAGATGCAGATAAATAGGATTTTGTTTTTAAAATGAATTAATGCCCTGGGGTGGATTGGTGCTTCATCCTGGGTTCCTCCCCCCTTCCACCCATAGCCTCTAGGATCGGCTCCGGACCTCCCGCACCCCGAGCGGTTACAGAATATGAATGGATGGAATTAACTAATGCTATGAAAGATCTTTTA